TCGTTTCAAAACAATATCACGAGCTTCAGAGGCCCACTCTTCCCCTTTTAAAAAGGGCGGCGCTGAAGTCAATTCAACATGATCGGAAAATCGAGCTGCGCAAGCACAGACGGCTAACACTAGGACAGGAGGAAGTGCTTCGGACCTACAAATTTTGTTAGTATTCAAAATTAGATTGTTTGTGTCAAAACTAACTTTAATTTCATCATGAAGCTTGGCTTGTGTAGTAAGTGATACGTCTGGCCATAAATCTTTTCGAAGAATACCTCGGCCAGGTGCTCTTGAAGCTCTCGCGAAGGTAGCTTTTCTTTGCCATCTTTCAGGAGTTTGCTTTCTGCGTCCTCCTGTGCTGATACAACCTTGGATTTCAAAACCGCTTTCCCATTCTCCTTTGAAGGCTTTATTGCCGACTTCGACCAATCATTCAAATCTGGCCCGAATGCTTCTTCTGCCGGTCGCTTTTTTGCAGCAGAAGTTTTAGATGGTAACGTTCCCGGAATTGGAGGCTTAACATTAGCTCTTGCTACTGTAAGCGTGCCACTTTGTTCTTTTTGTTCTTCCTTTGGCATAGTATTCATGATGCGCGTTTCCATTCGCTTTATCCTCTTGTCAAGCATTGCCATGTAATCCGTCCTTGGCGTCGCTTTTTTTGTCGTGACCTTATACACACAAGGAATTTTCGACCTGGTGCAATTGACACATGCGGGCTTCTCTCCTGAACAACGAATCTTTTTTCTTCGGCATGCTGTACAAGCCAGTGGCAATCTTTTTCGCTCTTTACCTGCTTTGGTTTTGAGTTCGGTCCACGCAGGTGCTAATTCAGATTTGTCCTTTCCTTTCTCTTCACTGCCATCCCCAGAACCTCCTGTATTCATTTTGAGATCATCCACCATAGGGGTATCGCCTTGGTGAAGATTTCCTACCATTCGACTGCTTGTGGGACTTGCTTCATCTGACCCCCCACTAAAGCTAGGATGCCGAGCCGTTGGTCCAGATATGCTGCCATAACCATTTCGACGCATGGGAGGTATAGATGATATGGAATCTCGATGTTCGGTAGAATTCGCGAGATTAAATGGATCTGAAGTGCCATCCAGCTTCAGCTCACCTGGAGTTACGGTATTCTCCCCGAATACATAGGGAAACTCGTATCCTTCAAGATTAGGCGTTCCTAATACATCAAGGGGCGGGGTATCCTGTGCTAACAGTTGATGAGAGTGATTTGCATTCTGAAAATCAGAGGCATTCTGCGCCTGAAAGTTTTGATGTTGACCCGAGGGCATCATTTCTGTGGGCGCCTTCTGAGATCCTATTACTTGCTGTGTAATGCCTGTCTCACAGAACCATATACATTTATTGTTCCAGACCCCTAATCCGCCTAAACACCACCACTTCTAATAGTTCTGTGAACCCTAAGTCTTTGAGCAGTCCGCGAATTTATCATGTACTCATGTGTGTTTCAATCGCAATAAATCGCACTTTAAAATTCGGATGATCGGTAGGTTCGGATGACGTCGATGTGAGTGTGAGTGCTTTGATGAGCAGCCAAGTTTGCAGCTGTGAAACAGTTCGAACTTCGCGACTGAGTGAGATTTGGTGAATTTGGTATGTAGAACTGAGTTGAGCTACGGCTCTCATTTCAAAAATTGAGGAGTTGATCTTGAAGCATGCGGATAAGGTACTTGCAAGGTAGGGGTTGCAGTCGCACAGCAATCACGAAATTTAACAGGTAGGGAGGAACTACCTAGGTAGGTATAATGACAAAGGTGTAGAAATCTATGTCCCTCCTAGTACGGAAACTACTACCCAGTAGGTAAATGGAAGAGAGTAAGCCAAAAGTACAACTACTGGGATGACAGACGTGCCGCTTTGAGAATGATTTTGGTCCGGGTATTTTAGTATCCAGACCGTGCACAAAAACATTTCCCCTTCTTTGAGCGTGAGAATCAGATGCTGCTTTTATGTTTGGTCTATTTATTGAGATATATATATATATATTCATACATATGGTGATACATTCATCTACAAACTGAAATCTATATCATATATATTCTATATACTCTATTCCAAAGCTTGTTCAAGTACTTGCGGGGAAAGAAGACATATGTGATATACACCGACCATGAAGCTTGATCTACCTGATAGGTTTGATGTCCAAAGAAAGTTCTTTAGAAAGGATGCAGTCCGTATATTTATCTTGGCTGAAATGCTTCAATAGATTTCTTGGTTTTACAGTGTCACCAGTTCCTTTACCCCAATCATGAAGCAAAGATGCAGCATGTATGAAGTGATAACTAGGTTATTGACTCAGTTTGCAGGAAGGAGATATCTCGTGGGATGTCGTTTTGCAGGGACTTTAGCCATTGCTCTCCAGTAACAATCATGTTCACCCCCCCCCCCCCCCCCCCCAAACTATCTGCAATGGCATGCTCAGTCTTTATACTCGGCGCACTATGATTATCTGTACGTTTGACCACGAAAGGAATCAACACTATGTTGGAACTTAAGATCCTGGAATACCCACAAGTTTGAATTTCGATGATCTTCAAAAAGTAGCCTCCAAGTTCAGCTGTTTTTCTCGGAGTATGGTAACATACCCCACGAGCGAAAGTCTCTCAGATTGTCTTTGGCCATACTCCAGATACGAGCGTCGGGCACAGCTCGATACATTTGACTGTTGTACAAGGTGGGAACTCCAAAGTCGGGGAGGTAACAAGTTGGGGTCCAATGGCTTGTAGTTAACGGCGATTCACAAGTATAATCCCGAAAGTGTGCTACAAAATAATACTGTGGTCGGATTCACAACCCTATCTCAGAAGAAAATCGCGGGGTCGACGCCTAAATTCATCCAAATTATCCCATCAAGCGGAATATGCATACCCTGACTTCCGGAAATCCTTGGTGAGAATTAATCTATATCGGAGTATTATACGCAGGGAGCATTTCCTGCCACTTTAAATTGGGAGACAGGTTCTGTTCGTGTCATGTCAAAACTGATAGCTTTTTTTGATGTCACTTCGTAGCGGTGATATTCAAGGTATTTGATGAAGGCTCAAGTTTTCATCATCGATTTCCAAGGTTTGACATTTTATCAATCAAAATGTCTAAAATTTACATACAAAGTATTGTGGTGGGGTATGGTCTAGACGGTCCAAGTAAGGTTAGTCGAGCTCAAGTGTTCATGCGGCGATGCTAACGGCCAAGAATACGACACTGTTGATATGATTGGCTGTTCCTGTAGCTTCTGTTTTCCAAATAGTAATATCACCAAAGTCATTGGGCGAGTTCACATCGGATATTCTCACAACTCTCGAATCTAGAACTCTGAAAACTGTTAATGTTATCATCAATCACAACTCGACTCTACTCGATAAGCAGCGACGAGAAACAAGTCAGATGATGTTGAGCACAACCCAAAAGTAAAGGTTCTTGCATAAATAACTTGGAACTCTTTTGAGATCGGCAACCAGTGCCGGAGCTAAACCCCATATCTGCAAGCCTGGGAACGTTTTGCAGCCATCAATTTGATGCAGAAATATTAAAACTTTGAAATTCATAAGCATTTGTCACCAATCTCCATCAAAACCCACGGGGAATCAGCCGCACAACCGCTCATCTCAAACAGGTACAGGTATCAAACCAGGATAATCATTTGAGCAACACAACATTTGCTATTTGAGAGTCGAGACTCACGACTCACGAGTCAGACAAATACCGAAACACACCCGACATCAAAATCAAGGCTGATGGGACGGATGTGATGCCAAGATGCTAGATGACTGCATTGAAAACTATCCCCTTATGTGCCAACTACGGCCGGCTTCGCAGGTACCGGCGCCTGAGAGAACGGAGAAACGAATATCTCAAATCATATATTGATAACAGTTGAATGTCAATACTTTATAATAATGCTAATTCTTTTTAAAACATAAAGTATAAGTTATATACACTAAATTCAACTTGATTAACACAATTGTGTTACTTTTACAATTTCAAATAACAATTATCCGATATGACATCGTATATTGAAAGCAGTACCGGTATACATCCTCGATACCCCAGCTTTTTCGTGCTGCTGGAGACAAAACAGAGTCGCAACAACTATGGAGATAAAACAGGGACTCGAATACTTTCGCCTCACGCACATCTGCAGATCAAATTTCTTCCTTGCCCAACATCACTATCCCCAGCAAAACCCAAATATCACATTCGTAGAAAAATCCCTCTATCGCGATATCCGTAGCTTGTTAAAACCCCCAGCTCCAGCGTCACTGCTACAGCAAAACCTCTCCATAAGGATACCGGTTTTTGTAGTCTTTTTTAAGGATATATAGAGGTATCCTTGTATAGAAACTCCATTTAATCCCGATATAGTAGTAGTTTCCTTCCGATTAGTCCCGATTGGACCAATTCCGTAACATTTTTTTCATTTCAATTAAATCTAACTAAAATATCGATATATTTATCATATGATAACTAAATCCTAATAATTTTATTGGTTCCATAAGAATACACGTAATCTTGGGACCGGAAATTATAAGGATATCCTAATGAAAGGGTTTTAAGGATATAGATCATTTTTAGCCCTGAAAATTTTTGGGATCGAAAAACATATCCTTATAGAGAGATTATCCTTATAGAGAGATTATCCTTATAGAGAGATTATCCTTATAGAGAGATTATCCTTACAGAGTGGATCCTTATGGAGAGGTTTTGCTGTACATTCCTCATGAAACCAACTTCTATCTTGTGAAAGCTCATGACGCTTCAACTTTTAATCGCGGAACTATCCCGCACGAGTACGAGAGAAAAAATGCTGGGAATTTGATCTATCTGCCTACTAGGTAGATATCCCGTGCAAAAAAGCTTAGCTGCTACAACTATCAAAAATCGAAATGTCTTATCGATTCTTATCGGCTCACTAGCGCAACCTCGGTTCCCCGGGTTCTCCGCTTATGCTTATCCGAGAGTACAATATGTATATTGGTCTGGACTGATATATCGGATAACATTCATTGTATCACCTCAATCCATATTGCTTTTGATATATTTCTCGCGCTTTGGGTTGTAGAGTATAGGTGTATGCAATCGTTTGAGTAATAGAGCGAAGATTGGAATACGCAAAAAAAAGATGTCTAGTTACGACACGCAACTCCATGACTTTGGGTCTCTTTTTTCGCTAAAGGGGAAGATCGCGGTGGTTACTGGGGGATCGAGAGGATTGGGATTACATGCTGCTTCTGCGTGAGTCATTCCGTTTCTTTGATGGCGGGAGAACAGTTTTCGATCTGGGGGATTCATTGTCACTCGTCATCTATCAATCATTCCACCCCCTTCCAGCCACTAACTCCCGCTCTACTCTTAGTTTCCTCCAAGCCGGCTGCTCCCTCGTTTACATCACATCCCGAAAAGCTTCCGCCTGCGAAGCCGCTGTCTCAACTCTCAATTCCCTTCCCAATCTCTCTCCGGGCGCAAAAGCCATTTCCGTCCCCGCAGACATATCAACTATTGAAGGTATCCAGCATCTGGTATCCGAAGTATCAAAAACCACAGATCATATCGATATCTTATTTGCAAATGCGGGAGCCACGTGGGGAGAGAAATTCGATACTCATCCCGATGATGCGTTTGCGAAAGTGATGAATCTAAACGTCAAGAGTGTTTTTGGAACGGTGAGATTGTACGTACCCCATCTTCCCTTCTTTCTCCCAAGCCCTCCTCAATACAAATTCAATCAATCCGCTAACGAACCCCCAGATTCGCACCTCTCCTTCAAGCGCGCGCCAGCGCTTCAGAACCCTCCCGTGTAATTGTAACGGCCTCCGTCGCCGGTCTCGCCGTCGCTCTCCCAGGTCCCAACTCCGCAATCGGGTATTCTGCTTCTAAAGCTGCGGCAATCCATCTCACCAAGAATCTCGCTGTCGAACTCGGTCCCCGTCATATTCTTTGCAATGCCATTTCTCCCGGATTCTTTCCATCGAAAATGGCCAATGCGCATATGGAGTCTAAAGGGGGAGTTGCGAAGCTGGCTAAAGCAGTGCCGGATAGGAGATTGGGGAAACCGGAGGATATTGCTGGCGCGGTGGTTTTCTTGGCTAGTAGGGCAGGAAGCCATGTTAACGGGGCTAACTTGGTGGTTGATGGGGGGGAAGTGTTAAGTAGAGGTGAAGCAATTGACGAGGGTGGGGAGAAAGCGAAACTTTAGGTTGGGAGCTTCAGATTTGTGGTTTGCAATTTGAATATTAGAGCTCGCATTTAGAGCACTGGGACATACCTTGAAGTGTTGGGTAGATGTAGTATATCTATAAGTTTGAAAAAAAAAGTAGGCATTTCATCTCAAGTAGAATATAAATTTGGATAAAGAAATAAATTACGAGTAGTAACACCAGATAGCAAACAAAACCCGACATAAAAAAGCTACCACCTGTCATGTCTTGCTCATAATGGGTATCCGATTCATGAAAATTATGCCAAAGAAAAATCTCTGCCAAAAAGAAATAAGGAAAGTCGTGACCCAGTGTTGAAAAGAAAAGTGAAACATGTATGTATGGATTTACATATGTGAGATAGCGAGGCCCAATCTTCCAACATGTAAAAATGTTAACAGAAAGTTGACATCTTCAAATAGTGAAAGTAGATTCGTATTAAATCGATGCCATGCATCAGAAAAGACGAGGTAATACAAGAAAGACAAGTTGCTGGTGTCTCTCTTTAGAGCGGAGGCATGAGAGGTGTTGATGTTGCCAAGAATGGAATATTGTTGAAATAGATAATTCTTGCGTGACACTCTCAATCAGTTCGGAGAACAGAACTGGATGGTAGTATGAGATAGAGCTATCAGCTTGCTCTCAACGAGGTAGGTCGTGTTCTCGCAGCGTATCGCATGGATGGAGGCTGTAAATCGTTATGTAAATTGGTCATCGGAGTTTAGGTCGGTCTTTCCATGCCCCTACTTGAATATATGGCGTTCTTTAAAGCTTTGACGAATGCTCTGATTCAGAAGTAATCTGGGCTCTAACATCAGTATCCAAGAAAGCATCTAATCTCCTTATCTCATCTGCATCCTCGTCTCTCTCCTCCATTACAACTCGATTAATGGCACCATCGTCCCATGCAATACCGTGCCAAAGTAATACCCCCAAATCTCTCGCAAGTTGAACTGTTCTCATCACTTCATCTTGTTTCAACTCAGGGATCAAAGTAACGAGTTCGATCCAGAAAATATTTCGCAGATATGTCGCATCGGCATGGTAACGAAAGCCGATGGGCGTAATTTCACCGAGAATCTCCTCGAGTCCATAGAAACAGGTTCCAAATGGTAGAGGTTCGGCTTCTGCCCAATCAACAAGTCCAGTAAGGTGGTGCGTAAGGGGGTTGATCATGATATTGCTTGGAATTATGTCGCCGTGAGTTAGTACCCATGGCATAGATTCAACGAATCGCATATCTTTGCGAATTCTTTTAGCTAATGGCTGGAATCGGACTGGTAGATCCTTGCATAGTAATTCAAGGCGAGATAGTAATGATGACCCTACAATACCACGCGGAAGAGATACGCAATCTTTTCGATGCCATCCTACTGCTAGAAATGCGGCGAAATCTCTACATAGAATTGCTCGAGTATCGGTATTGATAGCTAGAGATGTGTTGCTTGCTCGGAAATCTTTAAATGAGACACCAGGTAATCGGTTCATCGAATATACTAACAATCCGGATTTCGGGAGACTGGTAACATAAGTGATTCGAGGGCAAAACTTCCCGTGTATCTCTCGTGCAGCATGAGTTGTCATGAGATTCAATCGATATTTATCAGGTCGAAATTGAATAACGATATCGTCTCCCACCAAAAAAGTCAGCGAGCAATATCCTTGACATGCAGGCTCCTCGATATTCTTCCCTGGGAAAGCATTCTTAACGAATTCATAACAAGTAAGTTGGTCTCCTTGATCAAGTCCATTGCGAAGGTAGAAATTATCAACCAGAGTCAAAAGATCCGCCGTCTGCTTGACAGACATATTGATTGTGCATGATGATACTTCATATATGTATCCACGATCGTTTGTCTTATCAAATTGTAACACCAGAGTTCTGTCAAACTCCAAGAAAGCGGCACGGCTAAGGACATGAACCCCCGCCTGCGTCACTTTATCTGGTGACTTGCAGTGAGATGAGACATGAGACATTTCTGTGCTACGAAACTCACATTTCTCCAACCACTTGAAAGAGTGTGGTAACATATTCTTCATAAAGTAACACAAATTTGATCGATCCCTTGAGTCGAGTCCGTAAATCATTTCCGATATATACAGAATTCGAGGTAAGGAGCTGAGAAATGATTAACATTGATACATGCACTAGAGATACTTGTACAGATAATCTGCAGAAGTTACAAACGGGAACTAATGATGACTACTAGTACGAAGTAATCCACATCATACCATAATCTTACCACATACACATACATACATACACACACACACACACACCTCGAGCACGCCAGTGACCACACTCTCTCGATAGATTCGTCTCGTGTGAAAAATGCATCTCTCGAGTCAAAACATCTACCTAATGATATTTATCGCATCAACGCCAAGTGGTTGAGAAATAACTCTTGATCATGTCAAGGCACAACGGTGAAGAAAAGAGTCTCAACGCACTGTTCATGTAAAGCCACCTCGGGTCCACAACATACAAAATGGAGTTGTTTTATACCATTCATCCAATGAAATATGCTCTGACATGGCAAAATTCATTAAGCTGGCTTGACGAATCAAATTCCTCAAAATTTCTCAAAATTCTCCATAATCCTTGAATGAAATCATTTGTAAGGCTGGCTGGGCTGGCACGGTGAGATTGGCAGCTGTTATTTCATCCATAGAAAGAGGCGGAAGAAAGAGACCAGCACATAGGAAATTTGATCAACCACCTACTAGGTAATCAACCTCAACACCGTCTTGATCGACCTAACATTTATCCAGAACAGCAAAAATTGTATTTCTTCAATACTCCATCTGTTACAAGCTACACCCTCCATCAAAATGATGTCGGAGGCTTGAGAATAACGGCAAATCGGTGCTGAAAAGAGAGCCACATCTGTGATGAGTGTCACTGCAACGTTCTTGAGAGATGGCTGAAAATAAGTTGTGATACATTCTGTTGCATCAAGCGAATACTGATCGAGAAATCAATACATACACGGGCGAGGGGGAAAAAGGAAAGAGGAGAAAAGAGGCTTGCTCCTTCTACTTTTGTATAAATTATTTGTTTTTCACTCCTCACATCTAGTTTCTAGGAACTCAAGAGTTTGGTACGAAGTGATTCTTCATTACGCATCTGAGATTCAATTCGGGAAAGAGCATCAGATCACCCATTCTCTACTATTGATATATATACCCTTTGAGAATATCGGTATGAATTCATTCTTTTCTATCATACGTCCTCCTGGTTTCATATCACTAAACAGTCCTTCAGTCCTTCCGAGAACATTACAGTCTCTTCACCGTTTTCACGTTACACGAAACAACATGGATGATCTTGAAGGTCAAAAGCATATTCATCCTAAACGTATAGTTCTATGTTGTGATGGAACATGGATGGATAGGTAAGTTCTTATGATTTCCCTTCAGTCAAGTCATATGATCAAAATTGCTGACTATCAATATCAGTGATGATGGATTCACTAAACCGACACTGATTCCCTACAAACCAACTGGTACATTACAGGTGAGTTACACACGTCTTACTCTCATTATATAGAATACATCCCTCCTTCATCAAATTCGAGGTTGGCGTTTATTTGGTTGGAACGTTATCGTATCATGCCCCCTTCACCGCCATCTCCACTTTCCAGCCAATCAAGCAAAGCTCATCCACTAATTTTACCCCCTTCATAGACTCCAAGTAACGTGACCCGCCTATCAAGATGTCTGAGAAGATATGGTCCAGATGGAACTCATCAGATCATTTACTATCATTCCGGTGTTGGCACGGGTAGTAGTATGTTGGATACCCTCAGTGGAGGTATGCTTGGCACTGGAATTTCTGAGGTAGGAATTATTCTGCATGATTTTGAATTGCATGCTGACATACGACCAGAACATTCGTGAAGTTTATAGTTTCATTGCCGCGAATTATACTCCCGGGGATGAAATAATTCTTGTTGGGTTCTCTCGTGGAGCCTTCACTGCCAGAAGTGTTGCAGGAATGATCTCCGACATCGGACTACTCACTCGTTATGGCATGTCAAACTTCTATGCTATATTCAAAGACCAGGAAAACTTCAGAAATGCCAATTACAAAGATATCTTTCCGGATATCCCTTTTCCAAACAAACCAAAGGATGGTGACGAGTACAAGAAGAGATTGGTAGAACAAAATTTAACCCGGGTTTATGATCCGAATGGATCTAGAATCAGAGTTCATGCGGTTGCTGTGTGGGATACTGTAGGATCTTTGGGTATTCCAAATATCGCTCTTCTTGCAAAACTTGGACTTCCACATTCTACTAAGGAGTACAAGTTTCACGATACGAATCTTTCCGGCTACATTAGACATGCTTTCCAAGCTTTGGCACTCGACGAACATCGAAGACCTTTTAGTCCCGCCGTTTGGGAGATAAGAGATTTCGAAGATGAACCCACTGACTTGCGACAAGTCTGGTTCCCAGGAAGCCATGCCAATGTTGGAGGAGGTTACGATGATCAGGAAATTGCAAACATTACCCTGGCCTGGATGATGGATCAGCTTGCTTCTATTGGAGTTTCTTTTCATGAAGATGCCATTGACATAATATTTCAAAAGAGCGTCCACTATTATGAAACTCTACCACCTCCTTCCACATCTATCTTTAGGTTTTCGAAGCCAATCAACGAATGGGCAACGCCTGCCGTTTATGAGAAACATCATCCAGTTCGTCCATGGGCTCTTGGGAAGATTTATAACTCGGATACTGGAATTGTAAGTACATGTTACTGATCAAGTTGTAACATCATTAGCTTCTCGTCGGAGAGCAGGTAAACTAACATTCACTAGTGGACCCTCGCAGGTAAAGAGACTAGAACTCCTGGTCTTTACCATCGTTTAGATCCAGATACTGGTGCTTCAACTGGAATACCAATGACACATACTAATGAACGTATCCATTCAAGTGTAAGAATTCGACTTGATCTCGGGGGTCTTGGTGAAGAGGATATGACGAAGTATAAGTGTCCAGCACTTTTGAAGAAAGGACCATGGCGCCTAGATCAAATTCGAATCAAAGTCACCGATCCTATTCCACCAACAGCCACATGGGGTCCAACAGCTCCAGCAGCATTAGATGATGAACGAACCAGCGACCTGAGATGGGTATGGGAATATGATGGACCAGAAAAGAACGCACCCGTCATTCAAACTATTATTGAAGAAAATCTCGGCCCATATGAGAGAAAATTACTCCTATTGAATAAAGGTAAGGGAATGTTTCACAAGGTTATTGATGAGGCGAATGCAGATGATCGTAGGGCTATAATCTCAGCAGAAATTGATGCAAGACGTGAAAGTGATGCGTAAAGTACTCTTTATAAGCGTTTGATTTATTGGGGGCTAGTTTCCGTCTGATGATCTAATTTGATGTTTGTGCCTATTGAGGGGATGCGTTGAAGTTTACTTCTCATTTTCAGAGGTTGCTTTTTTTCAAACATTAACAACCGTTCATTTTACGCTATTTCTTTTTTCTTTTTTTCTTTTTCTTTTTAAAAAAAGGGGGGATGGATTCCAAAGCATTAATGGCTGAACACTCAAGAAGAGTATTTTTTATTATCCGAAGTTTTAATAGTTTTATCACATCACGTCACATATCAGAACCATCTTTAGATGAAATGATGATGTAATGAGGAGATATCATCTCTAAACTCCAAACTTAGTAGATCAATTTGCTGATTATCTAATTTCCCTTGAACATAGACCGGGTTAAATATCAAGAATCACTTATGCATCGACGACGCAAAAAGAAAAAGAGAAGATCTCATCGAACATCCAGAGCAGGGACGGAAAAGAATCATATGACAGCCGATGATTTATTATTAGGAGATACAGCTGTGAATGGAGACTTTGGAAGAAGAAGAAATAGAGCGGGAAGAGATGAGGTGGTTAGTTATGGAAGTGGGCCAGTGATTATTGGGGAGGAATTGGAACCGGATGAAAAACTGGATAAATTACATGGGTTCTCGAGTTATAATGGAGAAAGAAGGAAGTCTCGACAGCCGGGGGTTTATGGCCAGGGATTTGGGGAGAGATTGGGAGAATTACCGGTTAGAAGTCGCACGAGGGTTACGGCTGATCCGAGGGATTCGGAATTAGAGAAAGATATGAGGGAGATGGAGGAGAGAAGAGCGGGGATCAGCGGAAATACGACAAATGCGACGAATTCGAGAATTAGAATTGTGCCCGTTGGAGAAGAGGAAAACGATAAGAAAGATAAGCCTAGACGATCTCGAGTCGAAATACAACCTCAGGAGCAGGATGAAATTGTCGTATTTGAAGAACACGATAGTCCAGACGAACGCACAAATCGTAGATCTAGAGTCGGCGCTCGTGATCGTGCTAGAAGTACGACGAGAACGATCGATACATGGGAGAGAAGTGAAGTGGGTGAAAGCACGATTTTTACACCCACACCTAGAAACAGATCTCGAGGGCGAAGCGGACTCGGAGAAAGAGAATTGAAGAGTCCGGGTGTAAGTGTTAGGGAAAGGGAGTTGAGTGTTCCTAGAAGTGTGGATAGTTGGGAGCGAAGCGATATTGAAAGTACGGTTTTGACTCAAAGAGAGAGGGAAAAAAGTAGGACGCCAAAATCGAGGGGGGCGAGGGCGAGAAGTACAGCTAGGACGATTGACACGTGGGAGAGGAGTGAGGTGGGAGCGAGTACGGTTATGAGTGGGGGGAGGACACCAGGGACAAGAAGTGGGGTTAGTGCGAGGGCTAGAGAGAGGAGTAGAGTGGATAGAGAGAGGGAGAGGGAAAGAGAAAGGGTTGAGAAAGAAAGAGAGAGGGAGAGGGATAGTGGGTATGAAGGGGAGGGTGAGAGATGGCATGGGAGGGGATACAATTATGATGAGAGAAAACGCGGACATAGTCCCGTACCAGTAGACTTGGGAGAGTAGGAGGGATCGGCAGAGGTGGAGTGAAAGGGGGAGTGGGATGAGTACTGGGGCCAAGAGTCAAGGGGTGTGAATGAGTTGAGAAAAGAACCGGAAGCACCATATATGAGACGAAAGAGAGGGAAAATGAAGCGATGAAAAAAATTCAGAAGATCAGAAAAGATATGATTTAACGATTGGGTGGTACTAGATTGGATACGTATTTGTTTTTTGTTTTCGTTTGGATTTTAGGAGTTTTGACTTTTGCTATTATATTCCCCACGCAGAAATGAGTTGAAGATTAATGGTTTACGATACTGCATATGGATGAATAGGAAAATCAAGATATGGAAAAGAAAAAAATAATTCATATATGAAGATACGAGGAGTTAAATATGATGGATGATATATGATACATGATGGAATGATGCATGAGATAGTTGATTGGATGAGTGTTTGAATATGGATATACGTATGCAATGGGATTAGTAGATTAGATGAATCTTTACTCTTTGTGATTGATTAGTTGTCTGTGATTGAATGGGGGGTTTTTTTGAAGGTTTATCGGTGGCTGCGAGACGCGGTGAGATGGGATGAGGGTAGCAGGAAATGGAGCAGGAGAGGGAGGGGAATGTGAGGTGTTTTCCAGACTGCGAGAAAATTACCGTGCTAAGCTTTTTGTTTTGCGAAAGGTCATTCTGTACTATAAAGATTACATGATTTCTAATTTACATTTTATGGAGTTCTTTACACATTTATACCTAGTATCTAGTTCAATTTGTCGTATTAGTGTTGTGCAATCGACAAGACCTGTTAATGCTGGAGGATAGATAGGGGAGAGGGGGGCGTTTCACGCCCTTCCTTGGTAGATGGAGAGACATGATGAAAGAAGGGAAGGGGAGAGTACTTTGAAGAAAAGCTCAAAACTATGTGTGCGGCACATTTTATATGATAGCTGGAAATCAAATATTTGGTTAAAGGAGATGGCGGGTTCGATTTATGTGCTTCATGTTAGGTTGGGTGTCTGTATGGGATTTGATCACTCGATTTATATGAATGAATAAAATTGTGAGTGATGTCTTGCTGATCTCGTGAAGGAAAGGAAAAGAAAAGAAAAGGGAAGGTTCCTTAGATAATAACCTGGTCTACTTCATATTGGCTATTTTACTTTATTTCAAGTATCAGGAGATCATATGGATGTACTTGGATTCTATTTTCCAAGGTAAGCTAGATAACAAAGTCATAAATCAGATATGAGGGTTCTGGTGGTTTGGTACTATCAATTTTGTATACTCATGTGGTATTCAATCTACAGAAGGGTTTCTATATATTTTATCATCTGTCTACCTAGCTCTTTCTTAACTCTCGCTCATCTATTCACAATATCTTTATTCTACAACGCAAGCAGAAAAATCTATACCCAGCCTCCCGGTGCTTGTTCAATTCCTTCTTCATCCTCTTCCCGGATTATGGGTGGGATACCATGTTCATGTTTTCCTTCTTGCATACCATTTTCACGTGAATGTGCATGTCCATGATTCACATTTCCTCCATCCTCGCTCTTCCTCGCCACCCAAAAACTAGCCGAATATGTATTTTGTAGCATGGAATCTGGGTCTTGAATATAGGGCGCTCTTAAATCAGTCGAGGAAGTAAGGACCTCAAAACCCAATTTAGGAAGCAGAAGCAGTACTTCTGAGTTTGTAAGTTCGATGCTTCCAGGATCGGCAATACCATGATCTTGAATCTGATCGCTAGGTTGTTTTGATGATGGAGGGGTAGAGGAACCAGGAGGATTGTTTTCGAAATGCCAGAGGAGTGGTCCCATATTTATGAATATGCCACCAGGTTTGAGGCAGTTGCGAATAGCTTCGAGATAGCGGATGATATTTGGAGCTGTATCGAGGAAGAAAACAGAAGCTACTGCGTCGAAAGATTCGGCACGTTCTTCGTCGCCATATAAGAGGAGGAAATCGGAGGCACTCATGGTCATTTCTCCTGCTTGTGGATTGGAATTTAACGCATCTCCTGGGTGAACATCTGGGATTTTGACGGATCGGAGATGATTGCTTCGAGTTTTATGATTGGAGAAGGAATGAACCCAAGGGAAAATAGTATGATTTTCCTTTTGGGGACAGAAATTGAGAATGTAGGCGCTGGCAAGAAGTTGATGATAACTAATTTCATTGCCTTCTACGTCGAAGCCTTGCATACAAAGATCAAATACTAGACGCCCAAGACCTGCGCCTGGAACTAGGACGCGCATATTGCGTTTAAGGGGAGAGGATCTAGCTTTTTCGTCTTGGAGGGCGCGGATTACAGGGCGGTAGGATGCTTCGCGTTCGACTGCTCCTTCGGAGGACCAGTCTCGATACATTTGTCGGAGGGTACTTCGGGCTTTTTCGAGATCACCCGAGGTTGCTGTACCTCGGAAATCATCGGGAGATTTAGTGGAAGGGTTGAAGTTTGAAGAGGGATAGGGAAGGTTGAAGGATGGAAGGGCCGCTGATAAGATCGCTTCTGAGAGTTCGGCATTTTGATCTATAGCGTCGTCGACGGCTATTAAGGTGTCTAGATAGTTAATGGGTGGTGATGCGAGAAGTTCCCAGTGAGCTCGAGGTAAGGCGTAGAAGGCTTGTCTTCGTAGATGAGTGGTGTTGTAGTGAGCGGTCTGTTGGTAGTGGCTAGTGTGTATGTCAATAAGAGTACATGTATTTATGTGGTAATGAGAAGAGACATATGTCTATATCAATGAGCATGCATATGTTATATTCCTTCGCCTCCCGTGCTCACCGAACACGTACAGGTCCCCCCTAACATGACACAGATAGAACTCGCTTGATAGTCTCATGAATCAGGTGGTGTTACGATTCTAGCCGGATCTCCTCTTCTTATCGGACTCGAAGATGCCGTCACCAAATAAAACTATCCTTACTAGAAAGAATCCAAGGCTTGATGAAGAACTCTCTTCTCATCAGGATCATTTTGAGTTTCCTCGTTGCCCTCCCAAGCATTATTAGAATCGGCCATCGCGTATATTCAATCTCTTCATAAACCTTAGATAATTGTTTATATTAAAGAGGATAAAGTTTAGAGATATTAGAGAATTAAGATCTTCATCAAGTGAATGAAAGGAAGGTACGGCGTACAGTATTATTCACTGCTTAGTTAGGCACATGGAAACTATTCAAGTTCCCGTTGCTCATGGTACAAGTGGGGGTGAAGCTTTCAAAGTGAACCTAAAATAAATAGTTCGCTTATGCACGATGGTAGACCAATTTATGGTCGCGCCGGTGTTTGACTTTCTATTTATCTTCTCTAACCAGACAAGCAAACAACCAAACATTGATACCAACATTAATTTTAAGCTGTTCATCTCGACAGCCTTGGAAGCCAGCTCAAAGCTTTCAGTCTCGGTATCTTCATCAAAATGGCAACTGCAGCCCCCAGACAATTGGGCATCACTCCGCCTTTATCTACCGCGCTTCCAACAGATGCTGAGAAGCAAGCAACTGATGCGCTGATTGAAGAAATGACAAAAGAGAATCTCTTTGAGAGCCGCGCTGATACCGAAAAACGGTACGTGATTGCGATTATTATTCTGTTTCTTACAGAATCTGCAGATGAATCATATCTCGGAACATCTTGCTTCATTCTTATCTATTTCATTACTGACATCCTTTTTGCGCAGATCCGCCGTCCTTGCTTCTTTACAATCCATCACCGAAGAGTTTGTGAAACGAGTTTGCAGAAAGCAAAACCTACCGGAGAATATCGTCAATAGTGCCGGCGGTAGGATCTTTACATATGGCAGTTTTCGACTCGGTGTATATGGACCTGGCTCTGATATCGATACTCTGGTTGTCGTACCCAAAAACGTTTCCCGTGAAGAATATTTCGAACTTTTTCCAGATCTTCTCGTTGAAATGGCGCCAGAGGGAGCTATTACAGACCTAGCGCCTGTTCCAGAAGCCTTCGTCCCAATTATTAAGTTTGAATATTCAGGCATCAGCATCGATTTGATCTTTGCGCGTATCGAAGTACTTTCTCAAATTTCAAGGTCCCTAAGCTTGAACGACGACAACTTATTAGCGGGCTTGGATGAAGCCGGTTTACGCTCTTTAAATGGAACGCGAGTTACCGATGATATTTTGAATCTGGTACCGGAAAAGGCAGTATTCAGAACTGCTCTGAGGGGAGTTAAACTTTGGGCGCAGAGAAGAGCTATCTATGCCAACATTATGGGTTTTCCTGGAGGTGTCGCCTGGGCTATGCTGGTGGCTAGAGTATGTCAATTATATCCACAAGCAACCGCTTCTACAGTCATCCTGAAGTTTTTCCGTATCATGTCTCAGTGGCAGTGGCCGCAACCAGTCTTACTACAGGCAATTAAAGGTGGTAAGCTTAATGTTCGTGTCTGGAATCCAAGGGTAAGTTTTTCTTGTGCAACATACTCGGGTTTAATTGACTTTGATAGGTTTATAAAGGCGACGGGTACCATCTCATGCCAATTATTACTCCTTCATACCCCTCCATGTGCGCTACTCATAACATAACAAAATCAAACAAAGAGATCATCTGTCGGGAACTTGCTCGTGGAGGAAATATCACGGATAGAATTATGATGGGCAAGGCATCTTGGAAAGACTTATTCGTCAAGCACACATTTTTCACCAAAAACTACAAATACTACCTCTCCGTCATTTCCGCCAGTACTACAAAGGACGCTCAACTTATATGGTCTGGTTTGGTTGAATCAAAAGTTAGACTTTTAGTTGCTAATGTAGAAAACCACGAATCAATTGCGCTGGCACATCCATTCAACAAGGGATTCGAACGAGTTCACAAATGCAGTTCCGAGGACGAAATCGAAGCGGTAAAAGAAGGCAATCTACAATACCAGATCAAAGAAACCCCGGCAGTGACTACGGACCCATCTCATGATACAGATTTAGGAATTGCGGTAAAGGACCAGACTGGGGAAGTCAAGGATGAGAATGGAGATGCACCAAAATCCGAACCCGAGAAAAAGGAATCATTCGTTTACACAACAACATTTTACATCGGCCTCGAGCTTCGCGAAGGTAAGTGCACCACCATCACCTCACATTTTATGAGCGATCTTACTGTTATCACGATTATGGTATTTGGAATATGCATTCTAATTACAAGCTTCTATGATATATTCCGAGGCCCAGCTACTAACAATCTTAGGCGCTAAATCGCTCGACCTTGCATGGTGTGTTGATGAGTTCAAGCGAGTGTGTAGAGGGTGGGAGAAGTATAACGAAGAGCTTAATACTTTATCTGTCGTTAACACTCGAAAGTTTGTGCCCCTTTGTTGCATTAGATGATGTGAAATGCTGATTCATAATCCCTAGCTGCGACCTTCCAGACGATGTCTTTACTGAAGGCGAGGTCAAGCCAACTCGTTCTCAAAAGAAAAAGAAGCGTTCTTCAGCAGATGTATGTTAAAGCCAATCCCTCGTTCGGGATATGGCCTAAGGTTAAAGGCGGAAGATCTCGTTTTTTGATTGGGATTTTTCTCGGATGAATTCCAAGCATTGCTAACACTTTATTTAGGACGTTGAAAATGCATCCACAAAGAGACGGCAGGTAGTTGCTGCTGGATAATGATTCAGTGCGGAACCATATCCTCTCTTACTCTACTATCATTGATGGTATCTAACGACAGGCTTGCTCTACATTAGCTTTTGATCATTGCGATCATATAATCAGATTTGAAAAGAAGAAAAAAAACCGGAAAAACGACCAACTTAATAACTTACTGACCTTAGGCAGTTCACATCAACACATTCATTCATTCATTCATTCAATCATTTCATTAAATAAATCTTTAAGTATCACCTACTTCCTTGATATTCCTTCGGGGTAAAGCCGTAATAATGAAAATTCACATTCAGGCCTGGGTACAGTGTTGAGGCAAATTGAAAGGGCAGATCCTCCTGAAAATAATCCGGCACCGGCGTTCTTAGAGGCTATTGCTTCACTTTGTTATTGAGGGTTGAGGGAAAGGGGGAGTTTGTCAAGTGAAAATGACACGACAGCAAGCATTGGTTGAAAGATGCAGCGGGAATTAGTCTGGGTCATTTTCCAATGACATGACTACATAGATGACTATGTATTTTAAGAAATCAATACAATTCAGATTCCGAGACTACGTGTCTCACACACGCAGACGATCGATTCTAGATTTGATGGTGTATTTGTTTCTCTGTGAAGGTTGCAAGTGAGAAAGTTTCACATTTATTTGTTTATTCTGTCTATACTCGATATGCACATGATACGGTAGTAGATGATATGTGGTATTCATGTAGATGTATTTACCTATATATTATATATATCACATTTATCACTTTATTGTCATTGTTACATACCTTTATACATACCTTTGTATCTTGGTAGTAAATTTACCTCACTCATACCATAAATCTATTAACCTTATTTTTATTGTAGGGCTGGGCTGGACAGGGTGCACCGCCTTTCCCCAAAGTGACGTAGGATGTAATTCCTATGAAATCCATGGATACCCAAAAAGCCAAGTATCTGCTCTGCTGGGTACCTACCTTCATATCATAGGTAAGCAAGTAATAAAGCTAGGACAATGATAGTAAGTACCCTCGTACCCTCGAGGTAGATGACCAAGTAGGAAAATATTGAGGAATTCCCAAATTCCCATCTTGATTCATCTGGATGGCTCTTGGCACATCATTTGACACTGGCTTGACTGGTACCTTTGCTTCCTAAACTTTATAATTCCGAGTTCATCATCATCAATGTTTAATTATTCACTCCTACAATGAAAAACAATGAAAAACAATTGATCAAAATCTCAGCCCTTGTTTTTCATCATAACCCCAGTAAGTATTGTCAGATCATAACATAAATAATCAGCAGGCTGGCTTGGGTTTGCTATTTATTATTAGCTTGTTCCTTTTAACACCCACCCAACTAGATAAAAGGACAGGAACGTCTCCACAGCACTCAACATCATTCAAGCTGACAGCCTCGCACATTTATCGTGGCTCCTCCTTCATTTCGTCGACCAGGTAATTCTCATGGTAGGACATCACTTTTCCGATACCTATTCCCACATTCTCGGCTGACTATCCGCCAGCGCTTTGCAAATTTCAGATTCGAAACATTCCCATCCTACAAACTTGGCGCACAATCACGAATCTATAATTACATAGTTAAGACTCAGTTGAACCGAAAGAGGAAGAGAGCTGCTGGGAAAACTGCCTTTCAAATCCTTGGAAGACCAGTGAGAAGATTCTTCGGTGGCGGTTCCAAAGACAATGCGACGGCTTCTAGAAAGCTGAACCCATCATCTCATTCGATGTCTGGCTATGTCGCAGATGGATATGGGGAGGATAAAAAACGAGGGGGAAAGAGGGGGAAATTGGCTGGGTATTTGAAAGCTGCAAACGAACTTCGTCAATCGTATCAACAATCATACTCTGAGAAATGGGGTGGGGGTAGTGGATTGGATGATGATGAACATGGAATACCAGGTTCATTTCCGGATGTATCTATTGTTTCTCACGGTGATGAGCAAATGATATTATTTCCATCATATGCGCGGAGACATACCAAGGAGAAACCTTTTTTTGAAAATGCCAACATGAATCCTAAATTGAACGAACCCGGAGATGCGGAATATTGGGCGAGGGAATGGCAAAAATATGAGGATGATAGGGCTATAGTTGATGTGGATGTTAGAGGATGGCTTTACTCTCCTCATAGAGGACCTATGACAAGAAAGAATAGGTTACTCATTGGTCTTGCACGCCAGTTGAGTGGGATCCCTGCACCAAAATCTGGTTCTCGAGAGACTAGTCCGGATTCAAATTCATTAAGAGCAAAGCATAGAGAACTCGAACAGAGGCGTGATGAGGAGAAGATTGCCCGAGAAGCAGAACAAATACTGAAAAAGGGTCGAGGGGAAGAGGAGGCAGCACTACGGGGTGACTATAGTGAAAAGCCAAAACGGGAATCAGATGGTGATAGTATCTATAGTGAACGTGGTAGGCAGCGGGGTTCCAGTTCACGGGTATCGCCAGAGTCATCACCTGCTCCAAGTCGTCTAACAAAACGTACATCATGGAATCAACCATCCGAGATGACCCAAGCGGAACTATTAACAGCAAATGCTCATTTGATGGCACGATTAAGACCATTCCTTACGAATCCAAAGGTTGAAACAGCGATTACAGTTTTCTTTTACGATGAGAAGAATTCTTCATCGCGAACAATAGAAACAAACGAAGCAGGTCATTTCATTATGCGAGCCGCTTTGGAGTTTGTTCCCACACATGTTAGAGTGTTGGCTTCAGAAAACCTTTCAGCGATTGAAGAAGTCAAAATTACTGAACCAAAAGGAGTGAGCCTCATTACTGATGTTGACGATACAATCAAGCACTCTTCGATTGGTGCAGGATCAAGAGAAATTTTCAGAAATGTCTTCATTCGTGAATTTGCTGATCTCACAATCGAAGGTGTCAGGGAATGGTATAATACAATGTATGATATGGGTGTTGGGGTACACTATGTATCCAATTCACCTTGGCAATTATTTCCAGTCTTAGTGAGCTTCTTCAGAAAAGCAGGGCTACCACCTGGATCTTATCACCTAAAACAATATAGCGGAATGCTTCAGGGTATTTTTGAACCTGTTGCGGAAAGAAAGAAGGGTACCCTTGAGAAGATCATGCGGGATTTTTCAGAAAGGAAATTCATTTTAATTGGAGATAGTGGTGAAGCAGATTTAGAAGTCTATACCGATGTCGTTTTAGCAAATCCGGGAAAAATCCTGGGTATCTTTATCAGAGATGTCACGACACCTGAAGATATAGGTTTCTTTGATCCTGCATTGGGTCCACTCAGCGGAGACCGTCGAAGGTTTGAACCTCAATCTCGAACGCAATCTCGGACTCAATCCGTTGATAGCAGGAGATCATCTACATTTAGTAAATCTGAGCTATCAGAGAAACGACCATCTTTGCCTCCCAGAGTTCCCTCGGAAACTAAACTCCAGACTAGTAATGGTCCAACCATGGGAACACTAATTGATTTCGGAGATGAGCCTGAGAATGAGCCAATACATAAATCTCATAGGCAAGTGGTACCTCGATCTATGTCGGAGATGGAAGTACCAAATGTTCCACGACGAAAATCCGCCAATGATGGGAAAGCCCCACCTCGACCTTCTAAGCCATTATCCCTTCGTGGAGCAAGTACAATCACAATGGTTCCACCTGAATCATCCGAACCCCCAAAGCAAAACACTCCACCACCACCACCAAAACCTCGTCGTTCAGGTGCTATACATGGAAGTGTAAATAATCATCCATTGAAGCAGGCACAAAGTAGTGCGGAGTTATCAGAATCATCTAGTGAAGGTTACATATCTAGTGCTCGTCATAAAGTTACAGAGACCTACAATAATCTTCCAGAAATGAGATCTTATATACCAGGCATGGGTGAATCGAATCCAAGGCCCCAACCTGCATTCGATCCATCATATAGTCCATCATCAAACAAAGGACCACCACCTCTCCCACGTCGAAAATCTACCATTAATTCTTCAATCTCCAGCTCCCCTGACTCATCAGATGATGAATTCTACCGAACATCCGGTGGAGCACCAGCAAACAAAAAATTGGATCTCTGGAGACGTCGTTGGAAGCGCGCAAAAGATATTCTTGATGGACAAGGTGTCACACTCAGAGCTTGGAGAAATGGTGGTGATGTATGTATAGAGGCTGTACATATGGTTGAACAAGCTATGCGGGAAATGGGGGTTGAAGGGTATGGGAATGGGAAGGGGAAGACGGGGAGAGGAGGTGGAGAGATTAAGGTGAAGGATTTGAAGAGGTAGGGTTTTGTGGGAATAAGAAAATGAATGGGCGAGTTGGTTTGTTGGTTGGGGAGTAGAGCGTTGAATTATATTTTTATTATCTTTTGGGGGGTTTGGGATGGATGGGTGGATGGATGATTGTACGTATGTATGCGTGGAATGGCGAATACACTTTAAGAGGAGCGAAGAGAATAGATATGACGGAATGGTAGTCGGAAAGCGGGTAAGAAATACATTAAGAATTATGATTTATAAGCGGGGAGAGAATAATGAATATCCGAAATTCAAAGTTTTACTTTGCTTGAATGAATCAGATGCATTTTTGTTATTTGGTGAGGCTATAATATCGAATAATAGATCTAGACTCGATTCAAAGGGAGGTCGAGCCAAGACAACCAGAGGTACTAGGTTGGTAGGTACTAGGCTAGGTAGGTAATCGCTTCTTTTGATCGGGTGGGTGATCCGCTTGTATGATGGTTTTTTTGAGGCGGGGAGCTAGGATGTATGTATGTCTCTCTCTCTCTCTCTCTCTCTCTATTGAAGTCAATACAAGAAAGGAGCCTCTAGCTTTACAAATTCTCTTCAAATGATTACTTGCCTATCTCATCTCATCTCCTGATATCACTTTCCGTTTCTGGACATTGCACGATCTCTCATTTCTCTTCTCTCTTCTCTCTTTATATTTATCATTTATCTTCTGTTTTGCTATCCTATCCTCTCGCAGAATGACTCATCTCGATTCCTTGTCTTCTCTATTATATTTATATACCTTTACCTTTATCACCCTTTCCTTAGCGTTTATTCGAAATGAAATTCTTGAAATTCCAGCTCATGCTTTTTTGGCGCCGGGGTATGAGGTGGTGAGGAGAAGGAGAAGGGAGATGAGGGGAATATTTGTACTGAGTGGGCTATTCCTGGTAGTATGTCTGCTTTTATTCTCTTTCTTCTTTCTTTCTTTCTTTCTTCTTGCCAGGGCTTGGTGGTTGTGTGAATATCTCCTGTGTATTATAGTTTCTTAGGATGTATATATTTCCATCATCTAAAACACCATAACTTCCAAACTTCCCCACAATAACTGCATTCTAACCCCAAATTTTAACCATTCTCTGCTCGTAATCACCACGGAGTTTATCAACCAGATTACTTTGTCTGTCTCTCTCGGCCGCTTTACAGCCATCTGCATAATCTCTTCGTTCTTGCCATTCCTCCTCTGTTCTAATCTTTGCCTTCTCGCGATTCATTTCTCTTCGATGTTGCAAGCCCGCTTCTTTCTTTTCTTCACTTCATTTTGCTAGGCTTTTTGTTGCACAATAACACGTTTAGCTCTGTGTGCAATCTTCTCGCTTTCGGTCACCGATATGATGGCCTTATATTGTCTTCTTCGAATTCTAGTTTCTACACCCAGCGATTAGCCAACTTGATTGAATATCGTTGGTAACAGGAAGTACCTTTATTTTTAACAATACCACATTTACCATTATTGCGTAGAGTGTCTTTTGAATCCTTCTTCTCAGAGTCCTCAACAGGTTGTATTTTCTTTTTTGAAATTATCCGAGTGAGAGTTCTTTGTCTAGGAGCTAGTGAGTTTTATTCAATTAGTGGGATTAGAAGAGATGAAAGTCAACTCACAGTCATTTTGAAGAAGTTCTTGCTGTTCTTGAGTCTCCTTCATCTTCATTCTCAACGGTGCTTGAATCCCCTTTTTCTTTATCGTTCCCTTCTTTTGAAAAATAGGCCATATGGCTACCACTGGATTCGTTATAGGTAGATTACTATACGATCTTTGTTTTGTGTATGTGTAAACTCGATGAAATATTTCTAATAACGTACTTAGTGAAAAGGAAAAACTGAAGGTGGAAGGTGAGGATCGTGAGACTTAGCTAGTGCTGTAGGAAATACTTGACGCCTAGCGTGCTTTCCCTCGTTCCTTCCAATTATGGTGTTTGACGAGTTTTGTGTTTTATGAGAAGAGATGGTTGTGGTCAGAGTGTTCGAAATTCCGGACTACAGTTCAGCAATGAAAACTATCAAATCCCTAAATAAATTGGAATATTCAAATCAGATGAGATATTGAATTTGATTGGAATGTTGAACTATTCGCGGATTTCTAATTGCTTTTGATATATTCAAAGCCTTGTGTTGTTGCACTGCAGTACGGACTATTGGATACACTGGTTGTGGTTGTTGGAGTGGGTGGGATGGATGGATAGATGAGATCATGGTTTACTTTTTAAATTATATATCTGAATGAGAATTCTGAGAGTGGAATTGAGAGGGATTCGAGCTGGATGATGATGACGATGATGATTTGTAAATGGGAAGAGGGTGGGGGGGGGAGAGGGGCAGGTCAAATAGAACTTAAGGTTGTTGAATGTATGCTCAGAGATTTTAGGACGAGGAAAAATATACCACATATCCCATTAATATTCGTCTCGATAGGTGAGGTTTTATGAGACATTAGAGAGGTTAGATTGGATATTAAGTCATATATAGATGCTGGATTTTTTTTCTGTTATATTATGGATACGCTAAAGCTACACTTGCATAATCCGGTGATTTAGAGAGAAGATATAGAAGATCGACTTGGTCTGCTGCATCAAATCTAGAGATACATCTTTGGGCTTTATATATGAGAATTTAAGTATAGTAGTTAATTACTAAGCATAAGGAAGATGATGGGGAGATGTATCGCTATCGAAAAATTGGAAAGACTTATCAAGTAGTCGAAAAATCTAATGAGATTCATCGTCTGAGCCAGTCTCGTTAGAGATTACTTACCTAGGTATTTAAAACAATTTTTCAGGACTTTATGGATTATTGTAGTGTTTGTTGCATATCTGGATAAGAAAGAAGGATGTATAAGAAGACACGAGATATCTAGCAAGTGGACTGAGAAAGGATCTAGAAGCTTAGGTTATGCTTCCTAAGCTCGCTTGCTTGTTTAGTATGGTTTTAGTGTGGGTTAGGGGGGATCATCGAGGATTTGTTGCATCCCTGGATAAGAGATAAGTATTTTGGAGATTGTGGTTTGAGATCTGGGGGGTATAGATGGAGGAGATTGAGATATAAGTGGTGTATAGTTGACTGTTATCATTACGCTTTACTTGGTTGATGGTATTCCTTCTGGCATCTCGAGGAATCACGAAACTTCCAAGTTATAGTGATATTATTATCGTGTTAATGATGACTTCACGGGTACATCTAGTTCACCTAACACGCATACAAGGGCTTGTTTTTAGTTATGAAATGTATTTTATTATTAACATTCTAATTCTCATTTTCATGAGAAGTAAGAAGTGAAAGAAAAAGAAAAAGAAGCTATCTGTATAGTTAGCTAGTGAAAAGGGAGGGAATGACTTACCTGTATATACACTTACGCTAGTACCTCATGATTATGATCATGAGCTCTCAGGTATGAGGGACGGCGTAGAAGAGTACATTGCTTATCTAGAAGGATATGTTAGCGAAAAGAGGGGGGAAAAGGAAGGGACTTACTTACCTGTATAGTATCTTGATCACTAGATCTGGCTGTGTGGGATACGAGTAATAGAATATGAGGGAGTTTGAAGCAGATGGAATTGAATTTGCCTGTAGCGTCGATTAGCAAAGTGAGACGGAGGAGGGGAGGGAACGATACAATCACCCACTGGTGTATGCAACATTTGAACAAATAGCCTAACATGCGTAAGTACTAAAACTCAAGGATATAAGAGAAGTGGCCTAGCTGAATATCTCTTACATAACGGGTCTTTGTATTTCAAGAGGGAAGCATGAATGTGCCTAAATAATTAGCTAAAGGATTTAATCTGGATCGGAGACAAAGTTGCTATTCAGATTGCTCGTAGACTAGAAAGGTGATACAACTAGTACTATAAACTTAATTAGCGACAAAGGGAGTAGGGAGTGACGTACCTGAAGTATTATCTCATAACTGTGCAGTGTCTTGTGTATTAAGGTCGAATCAACTAAAAGAAGAAGAAGAAGAAGAAGAAGAAGAAGAAGAATAATAATAATAATAATAATACCTATGTACTTGATTAGCGAAAACGGGAAAGGAAGAACGACTTACCTAGATTTCATCTCTTAAAACTAGATGGCAGTGTATAACTGAATCGAATACCTGAAGATAGTAATGCTATACCTGTAAGTTCGATTAGCAAGACGGGGAAAAGGAGTGACTGACCTGCATTTTAGTCTGTTTTAGGATTGAAGGAATGAGATTTTCATAGTACTACCTATACAGAATTAGCGAAAATGGGGATGGGAGTGACTTACCTGAATTTTTAACAGAGGAGAAAAGTAAAATAAAAAGGAAACTTATACTCGATTAGCAAGAGGGGGAAGAGAGTGACTTACCTATATCTTTAAGTCTTAGGGATGTGTGAATTCGAAGAGAGTAAAAATACCTATACTCGATTAGTGAACAGTGGGAGAGAGATGGCTTACCTGAGTTGTTGTTTTTGATGTGTATCAGTATCTGATGGATAGGATATTAACGATAGCTATATATATACAATTAGCAAACGGGGGGGGGGGGGGGACTCACCTAGATCTTTGCATCCTAGAATATGAGAGTAAAAATACCTATATTCAATTAGCAAACAGCAAGGGTGGAATAACTTACCTGAGATTATCATCTCAGTATGAGATGAATAATAAATAACAATACCTACCTACTACCTATATAAAACCAGCGAAGATGAGGAGAAGAGATTGACTTACCTTACCTAGCCATCCTTCGAAAGAATAATAAAAAACGAACCTAAAGAATAATACCTACTATACACACGATTAGCAAAAAGGGGAAAGGAGGGAGAATCCCACTTACCTATATATAAATCCTCAAAACGCAAAACCAAAAATCAAAACAAAACAAAACGAAAGAAAAAACATACCTACAAAACAATTAGCAAAGACGGGGGACGGGAATAAAACTTACAAACTTATTAAATGTATACATTTGGAGAAACGAATCTTTTTTTGGGGGGGGGGGGGGGGGGGTTTCTGTCATTGATTTTCTAGCAATCCAAATTTGGTAGTCTATAACCTAACGAGGTCGCGATTGTTATGAGAAATAAGAAATCGATGTACTAGAGAAAGAAAATCGAAAAGAAATAGAAAGAAAAAGAGAGAGGTGATGCCATTAAATGTGATCGATCATAGATCAACAATAAAATTGCACCACCCCCAAAAATCAAATCAAATCAAATCAAATCAAATCAACCCTCAACCCTCAACCCTCTCTCTCAAAAAGAAAAGAAAAGAACTCACCTCCCTCTCACCACCCCACCACCTCACCAACTCCACACCCACCTCCTCGTACCAAGCCACCCGAGCACCGCCCCCCCAAGCAGCGCATACCAAGCCGGCCACTCGAGTCCACTCTTCCTCGGCGGTCGCACCCCATGCTGCTCGTGAAACGAAATGTATGTCGACCGAGGCGTTTGCGTCCAGCGCGAGCTGTGCGTGCGGGTGTTGGTGGTTTGGGTGCCGATTGTGCGGGTGCTGGGGATGGGGATGGGGGGTTGGTTTCTGGAGATGGGGGTGGATTTGGATTTTTTGGATTTTGCGGAGGAGAGGGAGAGGGAGCGGAAGGGGGGGATGTGAAAGGGCATTTTTCTTTTCTTTTGCTGTGGGAGGGGAGTGGGTGTTGAGGGGGAAGGAAGATTGAGATGGGGGTGGGAGGGTTTTATATCTTGAGAACAAGGAAATCAAGGTTCTTTGTAGGGATTGTTTACTATCTGTTTTGTGAAAGGAAAGATACAATGGGATTATTTCTTCAGCAAGAATTCAAAGAAGCACTTTTAAACAATAGTCTCTTATATTCTCACCACAAAGAATCTTGAAACAGACAAAGAACCCAGGAGGAAACAATGCTCAGCACGCAGAGAATCTCCCCCTCCAAACACACTTCCCCAACAAAGGAAAAAGAATAACATGTACCAAACAACCATGAAAAAGGCGACGCATCTTCTAGAAGAAATGCAAAACAATGCTATTATCAAAGTACAAAGACGATTCCAATTCCAGAATCGAATAGGAGATTCAACAGACCGAACCATCCCACATCCACACCCAGCTTACCATTACCATCTGCCTTCAAATACAGATCACCAAACCCCAAACAACCCATCCCGAAACCCTCGCAATCATGCAAAAGTTTCTCGACCCCCTTCTCCCGCAACCGCGCACCACCATGCGGGGAAAAATCAACATCCCCTCCCCAAGCGACTCTCTCCACGAGTTTCCCGCCCCCTCCCTCGATCTACTCACGCAACTCTTGACCCGACTCCCCGGTACTCTCCCCACCGACTCCTGGCTCCGCGATCAAGCAGTCCTCATGCAAACCTTCCCCCCTTCTCTCCTGCACCCCAAATCCAGCGGCCTTATCTCCCGCGTCGCCGCATCCCTATCTTCGCTTCGTCTAGGCGAAACCAAAGCCGTGCTATGCGACGTCCACAAACCTCTCAACCCGTATCTCATCCGCAAGATATCTCTCGAACTAACCGCAGAATGCACCACTCGTCTCCGACGCCTGACTGCCGAAGTCCCTCTCGAACACTTGCCGGTCAATGTTCGAGAATTCGTTCTCCGAATGAAAATGCTCAATAGTATCTGGATGCAGCCCGAATTTTATCGTCAAGCATATCAAGTGCAGCCGTGCGACCCGCGCTACGAACGCGTAGCATCGGGTTGTGAAGCCTGTATTCTCGCCACCATCGGAGGCGATCGATCCATCATCCGCGATCTCTTTGCCTCGATCTGGGGCCGCAGAAAGAAGAATAAGCAAATGAATGGCTGGATCGATGTAGTCCGCGCATGGGCATCATGGCAAGGAGACTCCGAAGGCTTAACGCGTGAATCTCAAGGTCTGGGGAGAGAGATCTCTCGATGTCGCAAACATCTTCAGATACTTCGACGAGATGCTCGACGAGAACGCTTGGCTGGAAATCGCAATCCTTTCGATAGAGATAGCGAGGCCCAAGCACTTCTTGGACACGACTACCCCGGAGAGGATAAAGACGAAGACGGAGATATTGAGAATAAAATTATAGATTTCTATGCAAATATGATGTCGAGAACATCTCTCGCAAACACATCAAGTCATGATTCACATCCGGCAGAAGGAGTCCATGCCGCTTTCCGCGACACCGTAGTCTTCACCGACGGCTTTTTTCACAACGCTTCCAGACCTATCAAGGCAAGAAGTCCAACGCTCTACTCCCGCAGCGAATACAACACTTCTCAACTTTCCCATTCCGGAGTCGAAGCCGAAGAGCGCGCCAGCGCCTATCGACAACTCGTCGGAACCCCAGAGAATGCCGCCGCCGAATCCGAATCCGAAGAAGAAGACCAACCTCGTTTCACAAATCCATTTGCAGATCCACCAGCAAGACATAATCAACCTGCTTATCGCGGAAGCCATTATGAGAATCCACGAGCATCACCTTCGCCACCTTCTCCTCGTACTACGAGACATGAAAACGAGAATAGACCCAAACAAAAGCACGCACCACATCATCGACGTCCTGACCCTCAAGTAAATCCTTTCACACGAAAATCACATGTTGCTCGCCCTGAGGGTAAGCGCGGTGATCGAGAAACTCGAGTTAGTGATTTCATGATTTAGAGCGAAGAGAGTAGAGAGTAGAGAGATTTTGGGGGATGAAACAAGAGAGGAGTGATATCCTTCTCACAGCATAGAATTTCTTTTGTAAAAATTTCTTTTGTTAAAAATCCACTCGCGAGAATTTCCTTTGTCAATACTATACAATATAAACATATTTCCTTATATGCCCTGCCTAAGACCTTATTTAAGTGATAGCCGATCCTAAACCATGCTTCTACTGGCGTCCTTCGCAACTGTGAAATTGTAATCATTTCAATCCCTTAATCTATTCTTTCTCTTCATACAGCTTTAGTAACGCCGGTCTAAATGCCGCTATTTTCGAAAAATCAGATATCCTAACCCTCATATAATCAAATGCAACAATGGCGACTTGATCTGTAACTTCACTGTCCATGACTGGTATCTTTTGATACCTCTGAGAAAAGTGAGTAAGTAGAATACGTCTTGCTCCCATACCCTTGCCAATATTCATTGCTTCTGAAGTTGTGGAATGTTTCTTGGCAATAGCATCACCTTGAAGTTCGTCATCAAATGTAGCCTCGTGAATCAACAACGTTGCACCTTTACCGATCCTAACAAAGTCTTGTGAGGGTCGACAATCACCCGAGTAAGCAACCTTGAATCCATTGGGAAAATTCAATGCAACAGCCAAAGCACCATGGCAATGGCTCACTTGGCAAGCTTCAATAGACGAAAGCCCAAATTCTTCCGTTTTTTCTGGTGTGAATTCTTCGTAAAGGTTATTGACTGCCGGTGTCATTTCAACGAGCTCAAGTCTCTCGAATCCATAATTCTCGACCTCGGAATACTCCGTTAACCAATGAATCATACCATGATCTGATGCTACAGCAAGTTTGTTATTTCTTGTTGCTTCATTCTTGGATGTTTCTTCATGCCATGCTTTGATGACTGAAGTAGTACCGAGGTGATGATCAGCGTGAAGATGACTGATCCAAATTGCCTTGAGATTCGAAAGTACATCTGGTAGGTCTTTGCCGAATACTCTCTTCAATTGCCCAAGTGTATTCTCACCAGCGTCAAATAGGTAATTACCATATTCTGGAATTCGAAGTAGAGTAGCTGAAACATTTCGATATTTTGAAGGTAAAGCCGAACCAGTTCCGAGAGTAATTACTTCTGCATCCTTGCATGGTATATCTTTTTGAACTTCATCAAGCTTTGCTTGATACTCTGGACTCATAATCTCCTTTCTAGCTTCGTTTGCTAAAGCAAGAACTTCAGGATCTGCTTCCTTCACCACCTGCTCTGTATCAAGATAAGGAATGCACTTGTCATCTTGAATCTCGAATTTTGGTTCGAGTAGCATTGTTTTTCCTAATTTTGCCTTGAAATATGGTACAGGCTGGGATGGTGGCTCGGATGCATTACTGAATGCGGGAATTGGGAAACGTTCGGAATCGAGGAGATGTAGACGAACAGCTTGCGCTGCGGCCGAGCTGAATGCAAGATAATTTGGGCAATTATCTTGGGAGGAGACGATGTGAGCAAGTTCTTTACGCTCTTCCATGAACTCTTGTATCCTGGGGTCAGCTAAAACGCCAGGACCCAAAATCCATATTATTGATTCAACTCCTGCCATGACCTCTTTTGCTTTCCATTCTTCACGTGCAAATAGACCTTTAATATACGAGGCATCAGGTATTTCAAGAACTGCAACTCCGGTACCCTCTTTGCTCACTCCCAAGACTTGTTCTGGAGTGACAGTGGTACCGTCGGTCGCAATCACATTTCTTCCCGCTGCCAAAGTTCGATAATCAGCACCTTTCTGGACATTCAATCTCTCGGCTTCCTTGGGATTGAACTTTCCACGCTGAGTATGGTTTTTGATGATATATGAGACTGAACTGGTAGAAGGTTTAGTTGGAGGTAAAGATTCGACTAGCGCTCCTGGCCAAGGTTTCCGAGTGAGGACTTCAATATCGGGAACTTCCTGATTTCCTCCGGGTTTAGGTCCTTGATATCTTTGTATCTTACCATCTGAGTTTCTAACAAAGATGGCGGCAGGCATTCTGACATCCTTGAGCTTCATGGAGTACAGAGTATCTAACTTCCAATCAGAATCGAACATAGAAGATACGACAGACTTTCGTATTTGATGTTCATTATCCTCTTTATCTCTGAGTTCTTGGGCTTCCTTAAGCTCAAGCTCCTTGCTCTTTTCAGCAAGAGAACCATCCAGAGAATCGTCCGAAAACTCATCGTGACTCCTCTTCCCACGACGCTTCGCAGTGCCCTCCGATTTGATAGCCATGGCCCAGACCTTGATATTTTCATCACTCCATGAAGGGTCCCAATTCGTTCTGTGTTCTCTATCCGGCCGATACTCGTTTGTATATAACGGCATCCCATTTCTGAAAACAAATCTCCTCGCCGTCGCAAGTAGATGAGTCAAATTTTCTCCTCCATGTATATTTAAAAAGGCCTTGTCGGGTTTCTCAGCGCGTCCTCCTTTCTTTTGCGATTTCGCATTTGCAACCTGGAACTGTGCCTCTCTTGAAGTACTTGTCGCATCTGCCAACGTCAAAATCATGCCCAGCATTCCTCCAGTCGATGCCCAATCCACCTTTCCGGTCATGAAAACCTCCCCAACTTTCATCAATCCGATCTTGCCTTGCACACATGCTCTTTGAGTTCCCTCTGCAATATTTCCAATCAAGTACCTCTTATTATCGAAATGTAAAAGTAACGAAGTCCCAGGCGTATCCACTGTGGGAGTTGTGAGGAATTGGATATAATTGCGCATTTTGGTTAAATCTCCTGGTCGATGAAGGAGATTTCTACTATTGATAAATGGTTTCCTGTATTTTGCGCTGCAATATACATTCCCCGGATTTTCTTTGAGAATAAGAAAACGCTTTACATTCACAGCATTCGGAAACGTGCGAGATAATTCGGGAGAAATTCTTAGATTGTCGTTATTCTCTAAAATATATTGAGTAGGCAAGGGAGATAATCTTGCTGGATGTGGAGGAAAACTATACCCCTCTTTTTTGGGGAAAGTTTTCAGTGCTTCGTGAAGTGATTTTCTAAGACCTCGAAATCTAGATTTGAGATTCAATCTTGTAATCGATGGGAATTTCTGCATTAAGCTGAAAGCAAATGTTCACTTCATATTTTTGTTGCCGTTACAGAATTCACGATCAGATAAATATACTTTTGAAAAATTATGACGGATTTCATAAAATTATACGGTAGCCGAGACAGCATCATATAGCATTCAATATCAAAAACATGGTTGTGAACCCTCACTACCGACCTAGGTAGCCAGACTAAATCTAGCATGCACTCTAATAATAATCATCACTCAAAAATGTTTGACAAAATTGAACCTTCAAATAGTGTTATGTACTAGGTATTTATTAAAATCCTATGTGATAAAATTCATTTTGAAACCAACGATGCTCTCAACATTATAATAAGCTGAGCGTTAACTTGCTGGAACTCCATCCTGTGTCTATTTTCTGAAAGTAATCAAGACGCCCAGATTGTTTCCGGGAGCAGAATATTTATGTAAAATAATACAAAAGTCATTACCACCGCGATCCGCTGCTAAACTAAACAAATAGTGCAGAGTAAAAAGATATCCCCATGCCCCATGCCATTTACGCCGTCATAGTTCATTAATCGCTCAATGATGCCTCTGTGGTGCCACAAATGTTCCGCTTTGCCTCTGTAATCTAATTTTCGCCGCTTCCGTACCGTCATCTGCAGTTGCGGCTTCCTTAAACCACGGATGTTGAAGCGCCTCCTTGGCTGTAATACGTTCGTTTGGATCATAGACAAATATCTTTCTCAATAGATCCAGGAAATTCTTGCTAAATTTCGACTGGTCCTTAATTATTTCCTATAATTTCATGAGTAAGGTTTGCTAAATAACATTTGGAACAACTTACATGTAAGGGTTTCATCGCCTTCACAAATCGCCGTGAAGCCCTTGTGGTGTCAGCAGATGGGTACTCAAGTCTCAAGCGCTTGAAATATCTGAGGAATTACATCAGTATACACTCTCTAAGGAAGATTCTAGGGTACTAACTTTTGAGCTGGATTTCCTCCGTTTCGCTTTGCCATAGTGTTGACTTGTTGAACGAGATGGCTATCTATTTTTTTATCGACTACCGCTTCCATCATGGCCAGATGCTCCAGGTTGTCATGTGTTTGGAAGAGGGCGTCACCCGTAAAGAATTCGACAAGTATGCATCCAATACTCCAGATATCGCAAGGGAAAGACCAACCAAGACCAAGAATAATTTCAGGAGCTCGGTAATGACGTGTAGATACGACAGATGAGTGATATTCATCCTGAAAGGTTGCGGAACCAAAATCAATGAGTCGAATTTCTGTATCCAGAAGAACTTTACGCTGTGCCGCTTGTCGGGTAACTGTGGTTGAAGAAGAAGGAATTTTGCGGCTGTATGTAAAAGCTTGATATGCACTGTTGCATAATAAGATATTCTCTGGCTTGAGATCTGTGTGAATTAAGTTTAAGTCGTGGAGAACTGGTCCAGTGTTAGCTCGTGGCTTCTTATAAATGGCAAGATACTTACAAGCAACACTCGTAAATAACTGTCGCGCAAAATGTTGGATCTGGGAGTTGGGAAAGGGTACGAAGGAATTGCCCTTCAAGAAATCGAAAACGCTCTGTCCCAAAAGATCCATGACTATACATATGTGCCCTCTGTAATCGAAACAATCCCGTAGATGTATACATCTGTTCCGGTTCTCACGATCATTTGCTTTGAGTGTTGAGAGGACTCGCAACTCGATTTTCGAAGCATCCCGATACTTCTGCACAGAGCGAATGATCTTGATAGCAACACACTTATCATTGTGAAGATCTTTAGCTTGTACAACCTTTCCAAAGGTTCCTTGGCCAAGTAATTTCTGAACCTGGTCTAATTCCTTATTAGTCTATTGAAGGGATTGAATGGACCCATGGAAACTTACATTGTGTTGTTAGGTTCGTTTCTGGAACAACGATATAATGTCCATCGTCATCGTCGATTTTGGTATTTTTAGTGTAAGAATTCTTCACATATGTTAGCTCTCAATCGTACTATGGAAAGCATCAAGACTTACATCCGCAATCGGTCGTACTGGGACATCGCGAGATTTTATGGGTGGCTTGGGAGGTGGTATGTAGTTGGTGAAAGCATCCCCATTGATTTCCAGTTCTTTCCTCTTCGCTTCATTCGCAATTTGCAACCGAGTATTGGTCCTTTTCCTCTTCTGCCCTATAACTTCCGCAGTCTCGTACCCATTTTGCCCATTGGATGAATGTGAACCAAGGGATGTAGCGGCTGTTGTATGAATTGCTGATGTTGTGCGATCGGTGGATATCGTGGAACCAGAACCCGATTCTGATTTGTAGTGTGGACTCGGATCGATCGAGGGGTCAAGTTGGTATACGGGATCATATGCATCATTGCGTTTTCTCTTCTTCGCCGCATGGCCATTATTCGCTGCCACGGCAGAATTGTTGGCTTGTTGATGCGAAGAAACGTCCAACGATGGTTCTGGGGATTCAGAACTATCGATAACAATTACCTCTTTTGGTAAACCATTCTCGTAGAATTTGTCCCAGTCTGGTTGTCTCTCCTTGGACCTTTGTCTCTTGTGCGGGGGAGGCGCTTGCGACGAGGTAGAAACCATGGCTGCGGGCTTTTTCGGAGACTTTTTAGACTCGGCTTTCGCAGGGTGTGAGGGTATTTGAGTCGACTTTGGAAGAGGAGCTACACTCGACGATGTGCTATTACTCGACGAGTTGGTCGGAAGGGTGTAAGAGGTGCCCAGACGGCTATTTCCGTTCAACAGACCGTTGCTCGCTCGATATTGGTGGTTTGATTGATAATTCTGATGATGTGAGTATCCGTAATTGGGATGATGGGGAGGTAAAGTCGATGGAGTCGACATGGCACAATGGCAAGAAGTAATCGTTTCGACCCTGGGGTGGGCTCAGACGTTATCACGTCCAACTATTTGAAGTCTTTGGATGAGTAAGATGAATTCTCGAGATCCAAAGGATCAGATCATCGAGTCCAGTACGGTAGAGTATGAGTTGATTGTTGTAATGTAGAATAAATGCGCGATGATGTATGAAGGAGTTGACGGTTGACGTTGGAAGTGGATGATGGATGATGGTCAAAGGTAATTCTTTCTATCTTTCCGACCGTATCGCGCTGGGTTCGAAATGTCAAATACGCGACATTTCTCGAAAGAGAGTTGATTATATTGACTTGATAGGTAAATTGGAAGGGTTAATTTTCCAAGGGCAAGAAAATATTGTTGAATGTCTTCGATAACGTTGGTTGCTCTTGGAGAATTAGAAATAAGAACTTCCCGTAGTTTTCTGAACTTGATGGAACTGGGGTTTCTTGCGGGTTTGGTTCAAGATCGCTTATGACTAGCAAGTATGATTTTCAAGTAAAATGGAAGTAATTGAATTGGGTGGTAGGAGTAGTGGAACAACTGTACTCGGAAAACTATAATGATGGGATTCACTGGATTCATGAATGAGGTACGATTGGAGCCAGTTTGACCATTGGATTGCTTCAATTTCTTTCTCATTTTTCTTCAATCTACGTACCTAGGTAGGTAGGTAGGTATTTCTTCCTCTCCTTCTTCCTCTCCTTCTTCCTCTCCTCCTTCATCATTTCTTCCCTCATTTTTTCATCGTCAAAAATGATAATATATCGAGTTATCTATCTACCCAATGCATTACCCATGGCCAATGAATGATCAAAGAAAAGTGTCTGTTTATGGGCAGTCTATATCAAATAATAAATTTTACCTGCTCCGGACTAGGGAGGTATGATATCTCATTCACTCACTCATGATTGAGGGGATCTCAATTTAGGAATAACACCTAGGTACAGAGAAAAACGGGTCGAACGATGATATTGTCTTGGGAATCTATTTATTCACATCATTGAATTGATTTGATTTGACTTGTTGAAATCTATTAATCTCTCATATATTAATAACTACCTAGGTATGGTAATATATCTATCTACCTATCTACCCAGTACCTATCTACGTACTCACCATGTAAGCAGGTGATGTTTTCCCTCATCATTCATTCACTCTTTGTACCTTTCTTTACCTTTCTCACATACCGACTGACAAAGTACTAGGTATCATTCATTCCCCTCATTCTCATTCTCCAAAGTCAAAAACCTTTTGTCCCTTGTCCCAAGAGAGTTACACTTTCATGCCAACCTGCTCTCATGTCAAGACGAAGATGTTTGATTCGCCATCCTCCATTTCCCCTGTATCATACGTTCTGTCAGTATGTAGGATAGCTAGCGATCTCCCTCCATTCTCAAATATACCTAGGAAGATGCTAGGGATGGACTGCAACTTACAAGCCCTTTCTGCATGCCACGAGTAATCTTACCCATCTAGCCATCCTCCCATCCTACCCCGAGGCCAGTTTCTTTGAAAAAAGTCCTTCCATTCACACATCCCGTCAGTCACATCACAATCACTTAAAACACTTCTGAGAAAAGCCGGTGGCCCTCCCTTGAATTCATCCAAAAGCCTTCCGATTCATTCATTGGGGCCAATCCTTTATCATTGTAACCAACCCCCCGTTATTCTATACACTGACTGAGTTGATGAATGCATGATCCAAGTCTAAGTCCTGTCATCATGCTTCACAAAGAAAAAAAAACAACAACCTCACAAACCCACTCACTGCCCAGAGAAACTCAGCCAAGGAAAGCCAACACTGTAACATTTTAAGATATATAGATTAGATCGGGAAAATCCTTAAGCCCATAATAGTAACAGAAGTTATATTTGCAGTAGTATTTCTTAATCTATCCAAATTCCACACTTGCTCAATCTTTTACTTTTCCGTACAGTTGCCACTGAAATTTCCAACCATTGTTCTACGTCGAAAATCATCCGCTTGATGTAAAAACCCCCTCGATCTTCTTTATCTAAAGTGGCAATTGTCATAGGCGAGGTATGGAGGGATCATCATTGCAACTTGTTTCTCGATGTAGACGCGAACAGAAAAGATTACTTACTGTACTCACATGAGTTTGACTTTCGAACAAATGTCCTAAACAATTCCAGAAAGAACTGCTGCGATACAGATATAAAAATCCGTGCTCATGAACCAATTTAATGGTCGTGCGGGTTGTGTGATCGACGAACAAGGGATCCCGTTGGTCTTTGAGTCGGTAATCACGTGCCAGGAGACTCTTATTTCAAGAAGGGGTGAGAAGCGAAAATTAGTATACAGCCTCAGCTGAATTTCTATCTATGTGTTATTTGTATTTTCTTCTAATGGTATCAGAATCTGTGCAGTGTAGCCATGAACGCCATGCTCTATATTTTCTTTAATCAATATCCCGCCAGTAGATCTCTCGGTGGGTGGGGTTAAAATAGAACTCGAGCCGCATGATGGACCTTTGAAAATAGTGGTTGAATAAGGCCGAATTGTGTCTTGGAAATATAAAATTCAAGTCATTCAATGATGTCTTCATATTCCTCTGTTGAAAACCACCTTTCCACCCTCTCCGCCCTTGCCCCAGAATTCCTCCTCTAACGTTGATGCATCTACGCTTTGGCGTTGAGGGAAGGCCGCTAGAGCTAGAGGTAAGGCGAACAGACTAGTACCAAGAATGAGACCCAGATTGATTGGTAATGTGAGTCTAGGGTTTCTAATGAGAAACTGCTTCTTCTGTAATCTCACCAAAATTAAAGCTGGAATAACCATAATTGGAGAACTGTTCAAAACTCGACTGATAGCTGTCTCCGAGACGGCAATAGTGGCTGCTTTCTTGCTCTTGCCCAATGAAGCAACCTCGGACTCAGATTTGCCCTCTGCTGCAAGCTTTACCTTATCCGATTCTGAGAGAACTGGATAGACATCAATGCCTTTTCTAATTTCTTCTCCTCGCATCAAGAAAACATTCAATGCTCCAGCACTTGCAACGGCAGCGAATGGTACCAATCTTCCAAGAATCATCTTGGTGCCTGGGCTGACTTTCTTTAATCTTGGAACAAGAGCATTGAGACCAAGTGCAACTGAGCAAGAAGCTCCAACTGCGAGAAAGTAAGATTGTGCAATTTTTGAGGTCGAGAGAGGTGTGGATTTGTTGGCATTGGCATTGTTGATAGCCACATTAAGAGATTGATTTGTAATTTGCCATAACAATGTTCCTGTCGTCTGCCAGCTGTCAGCAATGGCATATTTCTTTAGAACTTCTGAGAAAGCTTACTCCCAATCCTGGTGTAAGCATTCCTGCTGTGACTACCAAGTTCGATAAAACGAAGCATGACATTCGAAATGGAAGGAAAACTGGAGTGCCAGTATCTAGTAATATGAGCTTCCATCCAGTACTTTCGCAGATCTCACAAACCTGGATGTAATGTTGAATCGACAATCTTTTTCGCATTCCATAACTCCGGAGTCATTTCATGGAATCTCCCCTGTTATAAACTCGAAATGAGACTTTTCGCATGCTCAAATCCGGCGCTTGTTGACCAACAATGTTCTATTCAATCGTCAGCATATTGATGTTTGTTATTACTTCACAACGGACATGATGAAGTGTCTAAAAGAAAGTGTGAGCCACCTTTTTGGTTGTGAATAAAAACACAAAAAATTCCTCCTCACCTAGGGTCTAAAATGGCCGCAAGAATGCATCACCCGTCCCCAGTATGTACTGAGATCATACTGAGAAGCGGGCAATTCTCGATTGCCTGGGAGAGAGGCAGACATTGTTCGGGTTCCGTGAGTCTACCTGTTCTGGTCTGATAGAAACCTCGAATGAGGTTGATATAAGACTTCAATGTAGATAGTACCGGGGGCAAAATGATTTCGGATCCGAATTATCAATAGTAAGCCGCTCGCAGATTCATAGAATACACAAAGGCCGCGGAATTGGTGGATTGAGTCTTTCGAGTTGTCTCTGCGGGAGACCCCAAATTATTTATTTTTGGCGCTCTGACTCCGCTTTCGCTTCACCTGTTTATCGGGAGGGATTTCTTCTCAAGGAGCGAAGATAAGTCTCACCACAAAACAAAAGCATATCACACAAAGGATTTATTACTTCTGAAACAATAAATATTAAATATTGATAATGAAATCTGTCTATCTTAAAGTTGTTGGCGGCTTAGTCATTATATTCTGTTTTAATCCATTAGCAATGAATAGGCCCTTACGTTCTCAAGAAGTCTTGACATACAAAAAAGTACCTATCTAGAGGTTTATTGATTGAAGGGGTCCAGTAGATACCAGTTGTGGGCGAGAAAGTGACCTGGGTCTGATTGACGTCTTGATAATGATATTCAAAGCTCCTCGATCCGAATCTGCTGAACACTTGAATGGCCAGTCATGACGATCTTGCCAATAGCGGGGGGAGATTTGAAGAGGATATGAGTACATGAATGGCATGAATGCACAAGTAAAGTACATATTATGCCGAAGTACAGATGCATGGTACAGAGAGCGCGTGTTGCGATGCGAATCTCGAAATACCGGTACGAATAATGCACTGGGCTACCTACAGGTCTAGGTTTGTTTAAAGACCTCCGTACATCAATTAACACGCGTTCAATATGCATTTGTGTAGCTATCAAAAGCTGATCAACGCAAGTGTCGACAAGTCAGAGAACTGATGCATCGATCACCAAAGAACTCAATCCAAATGTAACAGTTCATTCACGGCTTTACCACAAAAAAGACTTGGCATTTACCAAAGCACAATACTGTGTACAAAGAGCTCCTCTAATGGATTGGTGTCAGTTTTCTGGTCATTCCCCCTCAAATATCTAAAGATGTACCCAGGCATAAGTTTGAACTTTCAGCGAACATCCAAAGTGCGGCATCTGCAGCTTTTACCAGCCTTTAACTCATGTCACGACTTCTCATCGTGAACATGATATGTCAATAATGTACTGTATTGTGTACCGCCGTACGACTTGATCTCATGTTGTAACCAACATGGATGGCGGAACAACCACAACGTTCAGCATTCTCCGGCAGCCAGCACACCAGCGATCTAGAATCACACTAACCGTCCTCAACCACCACTTTCGTATGAATGTCATACTTTAAACACTGTACCAAGCTTAACTCAGCAACTCATCTCCGTTGCAATAATTCCGGCCAACTTTCAGATATGCAACAAAAGACAGAATAACCAGCACTTGTACAAGCAACCGCCACGGAATCTCAAAGCGAGCCTGTCAATACTTGACACCTGACCATTAGTACCTTTTTGATGCAAGAAAGTGGTCAGGAAAATTGTTACCTTCTTTCTTTTGCCGTCGCCGAGAATTATTTGTGATACCGAAGCCTGGACTCTTCCGCGGAAATCAAAAGATATCTCACTCGATGTTTCTCAACTTGTCCGCGGTGTCCGAATTAACATCGGAATATAAGTATATGATGATGTATTTGGCTGATCAAAAGAACTGATTTATTCGTGATCTTACCTTCGATATTCCGTTCGATACTACCCCTCTTGGCAGTATGTGCCGTTCAGTGTTACATTTACCTGCCGAACCCCAAATTGGCCAAAATATTACTTTGTCATATCGGCGAACAACATACTTCCCTTGTATGCCAGTGGAAATTACGCAATTATGAAAGAGATGCACTCATCTCACCCCTCAAGTATTTGTCGCTCTCAAGCGAGAAGTAGTCAACACAATTTATGCCTATGGTTGTGTCAGTATTATGGGTCAACCTGGAATGTTACTATTGTACTTGAAGAGAATTCTTTGAGAATTGCTATATAGCTGTGAAATATATGCTGTCAGTAGGAACATCTCTCTATGCTCCTAACAGACCTACAATCTGGCATTAGCCTCTCACAACCAAACGGTCAGTCGCGTTCCGGGGAAAAAATTCTCGAATGAGAAGTGACCAATAGGAGCTCATACCATACTTAGGCGTACTTGTACTATCAAGCACTATCTTCAAATATATTCACCCTCATAGTTGATGTCTCGAGCGAAAACAACCTACCTAATCTACAGAATATATCATACCTAGTTGACTATCCTTTCAAGAGTTGCACATTTATTTCAATGTGGCCTATTACCCTCTCCAATTTATCTGACTATCATCCGACAGAAAGTCGAAAGTAAAAAAGTTTTGTTGCATATCTGAATTACGAAAAAGTACTATTTGGGAGGTTAGGTTTTTGCCCAAAATTGCTTTTGTGCTAAGTAGATGGTATGTTGCAGAGGCAGGTTTTCTACTACCTGGCTACTCTTGAGCTTGTTGAATCCCTCACATGAAGAGTTATTCTATTTCAATGTTGATTAAGCACCTTATATACTAGGTCAGTTAGATAGTCGAGTTTTGTTGCATATCTGTGTTTGGTCAAAAAGTACTTTTTAGGAGGCTAGTTTTTGCTCCAAAATGTCTTTATAGGGGAAGGTAGGTTAACAGGAGGCGGCTATAGAGAATGTGTATATACCTTTTGGCCGGATACAATCTTCTCGCATACAAGCTTCATTCTAACTGGGTACAATCAAGCACGTCTGACAAAGTTGCAAGGAAAGATGTTTTACGTCGGTTCTCGATTTATGTCCAGGGTATATATACATACGTCAAGGCTATTGGTGTAGCTTTCTGGCTACTAAAATTAACTATATACTTCCTGGTGGAATATAGGCTCGGCTCAACTGATCCGCAGATATACACACAGCTCCAAGCAAGCAACTAGCTATTCAAAGTTTTGTTGCACATCTGATACCAAAATTTTCTGGAGTTAAAAAGTACTTTTTAACTCCTTTCAACTTTGAGCAGCTTTTCCACTTCGGAATAAGATACTGGGTTAGCCTCCTCTGGACTTTATATACACTCTCTGAAATAGCGAATCCAAAGTTTTACAAAGTAACGGAATTCAGAAAGTTTTGCTGCATATCTGATCTAAAGTGCTTGGTGTTGAAAAGTACTTTTTGACAACGTTGAGGAAATTGAGTAAAAGTGTTTGTACTGAGAGACGCAGAGACGGATTCTATCTTTCGTGCGGAACAAACACCAGTCCATTGTGATCTACGCCAACGAATTCGGAATTGACAAAAAAATATCAAGCCAAATAGTTTTGTTGCATATCTGAAGTTCAAAAAGTACTTTTCAAGACGGCGAGAAAATCGACAAAATCGACAAAATCCCGTTTTTGATCTCTATTACGACTGACTACAAATATAGACTATTTGTCTTCCGGCTTGACGCGAGCTTCCCATATCGTTTCTATCCGAGATTATCTCTTTGACGATAGCCATACATGCCCACCTAGGTGTATAGAAGCGAAAGTTTTGTTGCACATCTACAAAAAGATTCGGTCCTAAAAAGTACTTTTAAGAAGCCGAGAAAAGCGACTTGGTCGGCGCTACTGCTATCTGATATATAGGTACGAGTCTTAGCACTTATAGCATTTGAATTTTTGAAGTCGAATTTGGACGAGCCTGTTAGGCTTTGGTTGCATATCTGCAAAAGTAATTTCTATTGTGCGTTCAATATATTTAATTTTCGGCATCCATGTACCAACGCCGTTAACAGTAAACTGCTATAGTCTTCGATTCTGATATTTACATTCATTTCAAACTCGTCGAGAAGATGTTTGACTAGACGGTGGGTTCTTGGGACTGATGCCCATAGAAGTATTTTATTGTCTCCTTCTGGTAATGATATAATGAAACGGAGAAGATCTGGATGAAATTCCTTGTAATTTACGGCTTTCGTCAAAGGAAAACCATACTCATCGGCAGCCATATTGTCCCTCACTGCTTGCTAAAGAGGTAGCTCTGCTAACATCCTCATCTTATTTTCTAGTGCATAACTCAGCACCTTTCCCCATGAAACGACATCAAAATTGTAAATCTGCAAAAATAGAGGTACGAGCGGGGCAGACTCGTTCTTAATTAATAAAGAAGACGCTTCCTTCCCGTATATGAAAGCGCTACACCATGAGGATCAATAGAAACATCATTCCTAACAAGTGCATCCATGACGGCTGTTTTTGACAATAGCAGCAAACATGGTATTCCGATATCTTCCACGGTAACTGGTTCTCTTTTGCCATGTTCCATCTCGACAAAAATCGATGAGGTTAGGACAATCTCGTTCGGCAAGAATATGCAAAAGGCCAGCTACTTTATCAAGGCGGTTGATTATATTCCTCTCCAGTAGGTAGTTGAGATTCACCCAATCGCCTATTCTAAACTTGACGATAAATTGCCGTTGATCAACGCCTCCAGCCTGTGTACTGTCTGCGTGTGATAAATTGTTGTGATTTGCATATTCTAGAAACGGAAATCGACGAGATACATCCAAACGCAGTTCTGCAGCTTGTTGGATGTTCGCTGAAAGAAGGTTGGGCTTGTATCGTAACAAGTTCCTAATCTGTCTTATGTAATAGGTGGAGCACCCCCCCCCCCCCCCAGTCGGTTGTGACTTGAACCAGCAGCGTTCGTTTCAATATCCGCCAATACCTGACTAAATCCATTTTCTCTTGACGAGAAGTCTCTCGCTGATTCGTGGATGAACTGCACAGTGTGAGTTTTTAATTTTGACTTCGTGACTCTGCTAAGCCTTTCGAAGAACTGAGAATGAATAGACTCATATCGTTCACGTCGACGTCTACAACCTTTGCATCCCATATTTGAAAAAGGTCGTGGGGTTTCAATTCTGACAGGATTGGAAACTGTCATTCCTCTCGCTTTAATGGTCGCTTTGCGTATAAGATCCATTGAATATAGAGT